ACAACACAAACACCAACAGAACAATACAACATAGGAAAACAAGCACAAACAAGATACATGAGGTGAAACAAGTTACGGCTTCAACATAACCTCCCATGGTGAAGATATGTAGTTGTCGCTGAACATTGCACCACCAAATGACAATTCTCCAAAGAACTCTTATCGGTGCGAAAAGTGACCAACAAGTAAATATTTATAGTTTTGTCGTGGGTTATGATCGGATGTGACCTATCACTCAATGACATAGGATTTATACTGGTTCAGGCAACGTGCCCTACGTCTAGTTTCAGTCAGTCGGTGACTTTATTCCTAAGCCCGTGCTCAAAGTTTGTTGTGGGGTTACAAACAAGTAGGAATAAAAAAGGGGTGTTAAAGGCCCGGATGGACTCTAAACTGAAGGGTCGAGAGCGACGGGGGCTCTAACGTGAGCTAAGTATTGGAGCGTATGCTCTGTGTAGCTTTAGAGTTCTAGAGCTATTGAGCTATTTGAGTTCTCTTTTTTGAGGAGAGCCAGAGAGCCAGATTCAAAATAGCCAGAGAGAACGTCCCCCAGAGAGGAGAGAGTGCATCCCCTTTTATAGTTGAAGGGGATGGCCTTACAAGTCAGAGAAAGAGAGAATGGATACGTGTGCTACCTAGTCTTGTTGCCCACGCTGTCGGGTACGAGACGGTCGTCGGTGCCCACAATACTGTTTTATGTCAGACGCATGTGGCAGGCTCTACCGTGTTCGCCTGGTATGGCAAACGTCGACGTCTACAATACTGTTTGTACTCTGACACGCCTGGAAGGTTGCATAGTGCCCGTCTAGCATGGCCTGGTGGCACCGTCCTGAAAGTGCACAGGGCATGGCAAAGTACGGTCCTCGGTATTACGGTTGACTTGAGCACCTTACCATATCTGCTCTGCCTGATCCCTGGGCCCTCACCGAGCGGGCGTCCCCGGTCGGTCGTCCCCAGTTGGCCCGACCGCGTTGGTCGGAGAAGAACCGTGAGCAGAGGTCCGGCGTATCTCTGGTTGGAAAAGGAGGTTGGAGTCGGACCTCGCCCCCACCTTGGCCAGGGCTTCCGGTCGGGGACCGGATCGTTGTCTCGGCCTATCCTTATGTATATGGGCCGGCCCGGGAGGCGAGCGTTGTTGCTACGTCGTCTGCTGGGCCGAGTTTTTGCAAGAAAGTGGGTCCATTGGGGACCCTAGGTTTATGAACCTGACAACTCTAGTTTCCATGCGACTGTAAGGCACAGAGTCGGGGTTGACAGACGATAGCCGTGATGTACATCATCTATGGAGCACATCCGGGATCCAGTTGTCGTCCGCCAATGCCCCTTAAGGGAGGGAGGACCGACGAGAGGAGAACGAGGAGATCCAAGAGAGGGGACCATGGTCTCGCTAACTCGGCATAGGTTGAGATGATGCAATCAAGGATCCTAGAGGACATTAGAGCGATGAAACCGGCAGCAGACACCATTCAGCAAGCAACTTATGCAAGCACCACTTTCAAACAAGTGCCACCATCAATAGTGTCGGTGTTTCGTACAGGCACCGACAAGTAAATTTATAGTAATGCGCGTTAGGCTCGGATGGTGCGCTAAAGGACACAAGATTTATACTGGTTCGGGCCGAATGTCCCTACGTCCAGTTTGTTGCTGCTCGTGTTATTAGCACCGTGAACGGTTCATAGTAGGGGGTACAAACGATCGAGAGAGGGACTGGTCCCAAGTCTCTGATGGAAGGGTCGAAAGGAGGTCAAGAGCTTGGTAGCCGCTTGACTATGTGTGTGTCGCCTTGTTTTTTTGACCGTCCCCTTTCTGGAGGAGGCGCATCCCCTTTTATAGATGAAGGGGATGGCTTTACAAGGGTCAGTGGCTTAGGATCTGTGCTCTACCTAGCCTCCTTACCCATTCTGATGGGTGTGAAAGGAAGATAAGCGCCTACAATACTGTCGATGCTTCTGTAGAATGTCAGGATGATTACTGAATAGTGCCCTATGCAGGGCATGGGTTGGAGTACAGTGGTTTTGACTTATGAACCTCGCCCAGCCTTGCTCCGCACGCCTTCTGGCTCTATGAGTCTCTATCATAGGGACGTGGAGTCGAGGTCGGAGTAGCGCTGTGGGCAAGGTCCTACGTTTTGGTGGACCCGAGGGGTCGGGAAGCGGGCGCCGCTCCCTTGGGTCCATAATGTGGTGACGGCATGTCCGTCATTCGTGGAGATTACAAATCCTTTTCTAGAGTGTAGTGGTTGTCGTGTATCTTCATTGGGTCCCGTGTCCCAGAGCTGAAGGCGGCGCCTACAACTCTACAGGGCGAGGAGTACGTGCTTGCAATACCTTTTGGGCTCTGCGGCGCCCGGGAGGGTCTAAAGCACCTGTCCAGTCGTTCCTGGCAGTACCTTTCCTACCAGGGCGCAGGGTATGGTCCTTGAAGCCGTGGTTGACCCGAACGTCTTGTCTTGCACTGTACCTGTCATCATGAGGGGACGGGAGAGAAGTTATCAGGTAAGATAAAACTAGCCTTTGGATATCGATCGGGGCAAGGTTCATCCTTGGTCATCGGGTGAGACAAAGTGTATTCCTTAGCCCTCGGGCGAGACGGAGGCCAGCCCCTTGCCCTCGGGCGAGGCGGGGCTGGCCCAAAGGCATCGGGCGAGATAGAGGCCATCCCTTTGCCCTCGGGCGAGACGGAGGCCATCCCTTTGCCCTCGGGGCCCTTTGCCCTCGGGCGAGGCGGGGTTGGTCCAGAGGCGTTGGGCGAGACGAAACCTAACTTTCGTCATTCGGGCAAGGAACGCAGAGGCGCCCTTGTCCATCTAGAAGTTTTTAACGTTCGATGGTTATTGGTTCCGCCTTTGGGGTATCCTGGTATTAGGTCCCCGACAGTAGCCCCCGAGCCTCTAGGTGATTCGGATAGAACCGCCTGGAGGGTGTTTTTCGATTTCGTCAGAGTCATTTCGCTAGAGGGTGCGCGCGAGCGCACCCGTTGGGTGTAGCCCCCGAGCCTCTAGGTCATTCGGATAGAACCGCCATGGGGGGTGTATCGGACCCTTCGCGGGTAAGGCCAAAGGACTTGGTTTTTTCGTCAATTGGATATTTTTTCGAAGGGGTCGTGGTATCCCGTTCGCGGGGATCCCATTCAGGGTTGACCTAACTGGGGCTTGACCACGGATCGAGATCCCAGTAATGCCTGTGTCCTTGATTTTGGATTAACTCTGGGCGTTCGGGTTACCCGAATAATTCGGGTCAGGTAGTTCGGGTTTTGGGAAATTCGGGTAATGAACAGTACTACCCGATAACAGCCCCGGAAAAATAGTACCCGCAATTTCGGGTACCCGCAATTTTGGGTTCGGGTTCGGGTATACCCAATATACCCGAAATTATAGAATCACACAAACATCACATAATTTGCATAGAATTTGAACCGAGACGAGAATAATTGATAACCGATAAGTTCAAGTTTTCAACCGCAAATAATCACAAACAAAGAAACACTAAGACAGAGGCATAGTTGCATAGCCATAGAGTCACATCTCGGACTGACATACATGATACTTACTTAGTAGTCTTGTGCACATGCAACATGCAATGCAAGTGCAAACCACGACCACACGATCCACAAAGACACAGCTAAAAGGCTTCAAGCCTGCTTTGCTTATAACGCATCACACAAGAATAGAAGTTCAAACAAAATAGTGAAACACATCACCCAACTGACACAAGAGCAAGTGACTATCGAGTGTCCAAAGTCCATACTCTAGTCCTCCATACTCTAGTGGCAGTAATCCAGTCTAGTTGTAGCTTTCAGAGTTCAGTGCACTCTGCAATAAAAGTTGATGGTTGAAATCATGCACAAAGATATTTCAAAAGAATACCAAATACTCCATTCATACTTGACATATATACCTTTAAGTTTTGGAGGAGTCGAGGCCCGATTGTTGTTTGCTTGGTGTTTGTGACTTGGAGGTGCCGATAGAAGGCTGCTCATTCTTTTTCCCTTTGTCGCCATATTCTTCTATCCACTCTGTAAATGCACAACACAGTTACATATTTCATATTGCATACAGTAAATACACAAATGCAAGCAAGTAAGCAAATATGATACCTTTTTCTATTATGGCCAATTCCTCCAGTACTCTCCTTTATGTCAACAAGAGGCCTTGAAGCCAATCCTGCGTGCATACTAAAGCCTCTAGCATGAATGGAGTAAGAGAGGTACGAAAGTCATCCAAGATACGTCCACCTATGCTAAAAGCGGACTCACGCCATCCTTTGTTGTGATGGGTATAGCAAGCACATCACGAGCCATGTGACTCAAAACTGGGAACCTATTTGAATTGACTTTCCACCAACCAAGAATGTCCATTTTCTTTTCTGTGTCTTCAGTTTCTTCAGCAAGATATTTCTCAAGTTTAGATTTATTGGTGCTGGTAGAACAATTGCTCAGTTTCATCCTCTTGGCGATTTTTTCTTTAAGCATTCCTCCTGCACCTCCCTTAGATTGATTAGCATTAATTACTTGAGTTGTTTCTTCACTTGTAGCATACATGTTCCTGTATTCTTCAAACAACTCTCTCACACAAGTATTAATTGTTGCCCAAACCAATTGACATCTTTCCTCACCAAATATCTCTTCAACGCTAATCTTTGTGTACAAAGATAACTTGTACCTTGGATCAAGGAATGCAGCCACAAATATGAATAAATTGATGTTCTCCTTGTCCTTGTCCTTCTCCTTCTCCTTCCCCCTGCCCTTGCTCCGCCCTTTTATCCCTATCTTGCTCTTGTTGTTGCCTGTCATTGTCCTTCTTTGTTGGTGTGCCAAAGTCCCAGTGATTTATCAAATTTCTCTTTCATTCTCATCCCCATTGATACTTGCAAATTATCTTCACTGTTCAGCCATTCTTGAATCAACAGATGGACTTCTCCAATCTCATGAAAGAAAGTGTTGCAAGTGACTTGGAGAGAAGAAGAGATACGAACAGTAAGGTCATGGAAATGCTGTAAAAATTATGCCATCTTCTTTGCATTGTCCCAATCATCTTCATCAGGATGCCCAAAACCATCCCTTGCTTCAGACAGATCAATAACATAATTAGTGTCATCTTCAGCTAACTTTAAGAACACTTTCTCATACACAATTGCAGCCTTCAACATCAAATATGTGTAATTCCACCTTGTCGGTACATCAAGTTTCAAAAAATCTTTGCTGTCCACTTTCTCTTCCTCAGCAATTTCTTTAAACTTGACCAATCTTGAAGTCCCATTTTTGATATATCTAACAGCAGCCCTAACACGCTTGATAGAGAGATCCACTTCTTGCAATCCATCTCTTACAATAAGATTCACAATATGGGCTGCACACCTCATATGCAAAAACTTGCCCTTGGCAATGTTGGTTTTCTACAGCTGCCTCCTCAAGTAATCAACACCACTGTCATTGGCACTTGCATTATCCACTGTTACAATCATTACTCTATCCAAACCCCAATCAGCTAAGCATCTTGTCAAGTTCTTCCCAATATCCTCCCCCTTGTGACCCTTTACCATAAAAAAACTTATCACTTTCTTATGCAGATTCCAGTTTTCATCAATGAAAGTTGCTGTAACAGTCATATATCCATCTTGAACCTGAGAAGTCCAACAATCTATTGTGAGGCACACTCTCTGACAAGAATCTTTGAAGAACTTCTTTAGTTTGGCTTTCTCTTCAAAGTAATGACGTACAATGTCCCTTGTGCAAGTTCTTCTAGATGGAAATTGGAATCAAGGACATGCTTTGGACATAAATTTCCTAAAGCCAGGCTTCTCACCAAAACAAAAGGGTTGCTCATCTTCTATTACCATCTCAGCAAAGGCTTCTCTAAGTGCTTCTTGATCAAACCTCCAAGTGGTAGGGGCTTCCCCCCGACATGCTTGCAAGGTGCCTTGCTTTGGGTCCTTGTTGAAAACATGAGGATTGCGTTTGCATGTACCAAAGTGTTTCTTCAATGCAGATGTTCCATGTCCCCTGTGTCACCTTTTGATGTCACGGTGGCAATATTTGCACCTTCCAAACCTTCAAAAGTCCTTTGTGTCGTCCTTGATCTTGATAAAATGTTGCCACATCTCGCACCTTGGTGCCAACTCCTTTCTCTCGAGTTTTTTCGGTTTCCTTCTCATCCACATCAATTACCACTTTTTAGTTCCTTTGATTTTGCCTTGCTCACCGGTCTCCAAAGTGATGGTTGTTCAGCTACTGACATTGGCACCATTACCATTGCCTGCTGACTATCAAATTGAGTGCCAGTGCCCACTGAATCCATATTATCCTCTGGTTCTGGCATCTACAGAAATAAAAAGAGCACTATAATCACCACTAAGACAATAAGTCAAACTAAATCACGAGATCATATCAACAGATCATAACACATCATAAATCACAGATCATAACAAATCAACTAAATCATGTGCCTCACTGCCTCTGTTAACCATAAATCACAGATCATATAAAAAATCACCATATGATCAGCATCACCATATTATCAAAAACCACAGATCATATCAAATAGAAAAATAAAAGATCCACTCATCTACACTACATCACTACACTACATAGTACATACATTGCAATTTGCAGAGACAGAGCCACAGCCCACAGATTCAAAAAAACTAAGGGGAATAGGGCCATAGGGGTTAGGGAATACATACATTGCACGAGGATTCTGATGTGGCAGCCGTCCTTCAATCTTCAAGTAGTCAGGTGCCGGTGTCCCTCTCTAGTGTCCAGTCTCCGATGAGGTCGACGCAAGGTGTCGCGTGTCGGAGTGAGGTGCAGAGGTGGGCGACGGAGTAAGGGCGGCGTCGATGAGCCGACGACTTCGCTCCGCCGTCTTCGCGTCACGCTGTCGCCACACGCGCCCCTTCGGTACCGAGAAGGCAAGAACTGGAGTCTGGACTCTGGAGGGCTGGCGGCTAGGTTTTGGAGGATACAGGGAAGGCAAGAATTGGAGTCTGGAGGGCTGACGGCTAGGTTTTGGAGGATACAGGGAGTGAGGTGAGGAAATGAGGTTGCGCTGTTGCCTGTTGGGTCACGCGGGATGTTTGGCCTATTGGGCTCTGACTCAAATTGCGGATAGTTCGGGTACCGGGTGAAGTTACCCGAATTACCCAAATTAAAATCGGGTAATAGGAATCAATATCCGAACTAAACATCGGGCACTGCGGGTTTGGGTTTTTTGGGTCCGGGTCCGGGTATTTCGGGTTCGGGTAACGGGTAGCGGGTAATTTGCCCAGAGTTGGGTGAGCCGGTGCCGCCCGAAGGGTATGTTGTTTCTTTCGCCATCTTCCATGAGCGGGGATTTGCGGTACCCGCGCATAGATTCCTTCGGGGGCTGCTGGATTATTATGAGGTGGAGCTGCAGCATCTAACTCCCAACGGGGTTCAACATATGGCGGCGTTTGTTGCCCTGTGCGAGGGTTTCCTGGGGATCGATCCCCATTTTGATCTGTGGCGGTATTTCTTTACCATTAGTTTGTCGAAGAGGAAGATTGGAGGGAACGATGTGAACACGCCAATGGGATGTGCCAGCATTCATCTGCGCCATACCCGGTCGAGGGGTTACTCATACATGCGTCTGGTGACATCCAACAAGGGATGGCACTCGCAGTGGATTTATGTTAGGGATGATGTGAGCGCCACCCTCCCGAGGTACACCGGACGCCTTATTGAAGAGGCTCCGGAGTCGTGGAGCTGGGGCGTCTAGTCCAAAGACAAGAAACACCTCTCCGACCTTTTTTCCGCCCTTCAAGCCCTGAAGGATCGGGGCATGAAGGGGACGGGGATTATCGGCGCCTATCATGCGAGGAGGGTGGCGCCGCTGATGGCGCGTGTGCTTCCCCTATATCAGATGATGCCCGGAATGTCGTTCGAGGGGACGGTGCTTGTTGATGAGGCACTCCCCTTTTCGGAAGTGGCGCAGCGCATTAAGGAGGCGACAGAGCCGACGAAGGACTCCAAAGGCAGCGTCCTCGACATTGTGTATCCAGTGCCCGGACATCCCCCAATGAGGCCAGAACCCAGGTTCCTCGAATTCGTAAGTCCTCTTCTCCCGTGCTCTTTTCTTTTTCCTGAATCTCCATTTTTTAATACTTGCTTTTGTGACGTTGGAACTAGCCGAGGAGGCTAGTCTTCAAAGATAGTCCGGTACCGCTGCCGAATGACAAGGCCGTGGCGGCGGCGAATCGACTCGCGGCTGAGCGGGACAAGAAAGCAAGGGAGCAGATGAAGAGGATGAAACGACAGATGACGACGACGACGAGGAGGTAGCCATCGGCGTGGATTGGGACGTCCTGGAGGACGAGGACACGCTGACAAGTGGTCGGCCATCTGTGCAGGGGCCCTTCACGTTTCACGCGGAGGGGAGTGAATCGGTGAGGTCGGCGGAGGCCGATGGGTCCGCCGCTTTGCACGGCGTGCCGCCCAAGGACCGGTGGATGGAGGAAAGCGGGCCTGCCGCTGCCGACCCTGAGGTGATGGTGGGGAGCGCCTCTGGTGCCGCGCCCCACGAGGTGAGCCCCCCTGCCCCGGGGCAGGGGGCAGGCTCGAAACGGCCCTGCCCAGATGAGTCGGGGCAGGGATCTGGGGATCCGCCCCCAAAATGCTTCCGTCGGCCAAGGGCGTCCAGGTGAGCTGCTGATTCCACTGTTTTTATCCTTTTTTCTTTTCTATTTTGATCTAATGGCTATTACCTTTGTGTAGGCTCTTGCGGACGGGTCACCCCCTGGGGCTGGCGCCCAAAAAGTGTCTCGCCATTCAGGTGAGACAGATGGCGTCGCCTGGCGTCACCCCTGCTTCGGGTGGGAGTGGTGCCGACGTTGGATCTACGTTGGCCAACCCGACGGCGTCTGTGGTGGCGCCCACACCCACGGAGGTTACCGAGCAGGCGGCTTCCTCCATGGCGGATGTGGTACAGCCAGCCGAGGGCCGCATACCGCCGGTGGTCCATGCTTGAGGACGCAGTGCAGTCCGCGCCACCAGGGGCCCAGGTGGATCCGCCCATGATGCTTGAAGCTGCCCAGGTGGAGGAGGGTCCGGTTGGAGGGTCCTCGAGCGTGGCGGTGGTTTCGCATAGGGTCAGGAGGGAGGCGCCTCCGACCCCTTTGTCGAGAGGAAGCCGCTCTCCTGTGCGGGGGGAGCCGCCGCTCCAGTGGATGGCCGCTCAGGACCCGATGTCGGCTCTTTTCTCGCTCGATGATCATTCCGAGAGCATGGAGCGGGAGGGTCTTGACATTGAATTTCGACCATGCTGGAGGCCCTGGACCAGGCCAGAGGATCCCTGCGTGAAATCGTTGTTCCTACTACCCAGGTATTCGCTTGATTTTCTTCTTTCTTTGCATGTTTTTGTGTTTTCGCATTTCTGATACCAGTCTTCTTCTTCTTCTTCAGGCTCTTGTTGCTCATAGCCGGAATAAATCCCGATTCCTCCGCGAGCAGAAAGCGGAGTGGGATCGCCTCTCTGAGGAGGCCCGGCTGCGAGCAGATATGGCCGCACAGCTTGCTGCCGCCCAAGAGCGAGAGACCTAGGCACGTCAGGACGTGGAGGAGGCCCACGGGATGTTCGAGGATTTGTCGGCGAGGTCCAAGCTAGATGGGGAGGAGATCGCCAGGCTCAAAAAGGAGCGAGACGAGCTGCTGCAGAGGAATGCCATGGCTAATGAGAAGAACGACAAGGTCCTAAAGGAGCTGGAGATGGAGCGGGACCTCCAGCGGAAGGCCGAGAGTAGGGCCATGGCCCTTTAGCAGAAGGTGGACGAGGACGTCGAGGTGGTCCGCTCTCTCCGGGCGGATCTCGATGACGCGGTAAGCCAAAGGTTGAGCGCCAAAAACGTCTCCGTCAAGCTGGAAAAAGAGGTTGCCCATGTACGAAGGACCCTTCAGACTGAGAGCGATGAACATGATCATCTGCAAGCTACGGTTGGGGTGGTCCTTGATGCCCTGAAGGTGGTGGAGCCGTGGAGACCAACCCGCTTGCGGCTCGTGCCGCAGGTATCACTGCTCGGGTGGGCCAGCTTGAGGAGAGTGCTTTTCACGCCGGGATCACCCAGGCCTTCACCGTCGCCCATGCTCATTACGAGAAGGAGATTAACCTGAAGGTGATGAGCGAAGGTTTCCCGCCTACCTATGAAGATGATGAGCTGGAGGCGATTGAGAAGGTGGTGGCTCCCCTTGCGAAGAACCTAGCGGATAGTCTGAAAGAAATAGTTCTCCCTTCGCGGGAGTAGTTAGTCGAATAATTTTGAGAACAACTTATATGTAATACGTGGACAAGTGTCGGTATTTTTGAGTCTAGACGTGGTTTCGTAATTTTGCTTCGTAATTTCGTTTTGTTTGATCTTTTGCGATCTTACCAATCCGTTCTCCTGAATCTTGCCGCTGATGAGCGCTTCGTATTCTGTGGTATTGTTTGATGAGGGAAAGTGGAGCCAAACCATGTACCTCATGCGGACCCCGAGGGGAGATATGAAGACTATTCCTGCGCCGGCGTCGTTCTTCCTCAGCGATCCGTCGAAGTACATCGTCCAGTACTCTTGATCGACGATTGTTGGTGGCATCTGGACCCCGGTCCACTCTACGATGAAGTCAGCCAGCACCTGGGATTTGATCGCTGTCCGGGGGGCATAAGTAATGCCCTGATCCATTAGCTCGAGCACCCACTTTGCGGTTCTTCCTGTAGCGTCCTGGCTACGGACGACCTCGCCGAGGAGGAAGAACGTCACGACTGTCATAGGGTGTGACTCAAAGTAATGGCGTAGCTTTCTTTTGGTGATGAGGATGGTGTAGAGGAGTTTCTGGATTTGGGGGTAACGGGTTTTGGAATCAGATAGGACCTCGCTGATGAAGTAGATAGGGCGATGTACCTTGAAGGCGTGCCCCTCTTCCTCTCGCTCTACCACTAAGGCGGAGCTGACCACTTGCGTGGTGGCCGATATATACAGCAGGAGGGATTCTCCGTTGCCCGGAGGGACTAGGACCGGCGGTTTAGTTAAAAATTGTTTAACCATGTCAAGCACCTCCTGTGCCTCGGCTGTCCACTTGAAGTGGTAAGCTTTCTTTATTAGTCGATAAAGGGGAAGTCCTCGTTCGCCGAGGCGCGAAATGAATTGGCTAAGGGCGGCAAGGCACCCTGTGATTCGCTGAACCCCTTTTATGTTCTGGATTGGGCCCATTCTTGTGATGGCTGAGATTTTCTCCGGGTTGGCTTCTATGCCTTGTTCGGAGACAATAAAGCCGAGCAGCATGCCCCTCGGGACCCTGAAAACACATTTTTCGGGATTGAGCTTGATGCCGTTTGCGTGAAGTTTCATGAAGGTTTGTTCGAGGTTTGGTGACAAGGTGGTTGGCCCTTTTGGACTTAACCACGATGTCGTCGACATAGGCCTCAATGGTCCGCCCGATGAGGTCCCCGAAGCAGTTGAGCATACAGCGCTGATAAGTCACCCTAGCGTTCTTCAGACCGAACGGCATTGAAACATAGCAGAATGATCCGAAGAGGGTGATAAAAGACGTCGCGAGCTGGTCGGATTCTTTCATCGTGATCTGGTGGTAGCCGGAGTATGCGTCAAGGAAGCAGAGGGTTTCGCACCCTGAGGTGGAATCAACTATTTGGTCAATGCATGGTAAAGGAAACGGGTCCTTTGGGCATGCCTTGTT